TGCAAGCGCGGGAAAGCGAAGGAATGTCCAGCACGAGCCATCACCCTTACTGCTGCTGGCGGAGGGCTCACCGTGGTGAAGGGAGACGAGCAGTCCCCTCATCATTCGCACCCTCCGAACAGAGAAGGGGCCAACGCCGGGACGGTGGCCACTAACCTGAAGCGGTTGTCCCAGCAACATCCGGGTATGCCTCCCGCTCAAATCCTACATAACGAGCTCACCTCTGTGCCCTAAGGTGTAATGCATTACACCTTACTGTGCCCTCCGGAGGGTTAAGCCAACTGCCAGAGCGCGAAAATTTAAAGAAGATGACGCGACGGGAGAGGAGGCGAGACTTGCCAAAAAACCCGGTGCGCCTGTCAGAGCTGGGCGCCATACCCGAGCGCTTCACCAAAACACTGCTCGGAGAAAACTTCCTGGTCTTCGACTCCCACGATGACCCGAACAGCGACAGCAGTGACAGCGACGGTGAGGGAGAGAGCAGCCAGAGCGCCACCGTGTCATAATTTTCGGCACAAGAAGAAATCTGGAGCTGCTTGGCCGGAGCGTCATCTGGTTTCTAGATGGGACGCTTAAAGTGTGCCCTGGGCTATTTGTGCAAATATTCACAATCAGTGGCCTCGTGAAGCGCATGAAACCCGACGGGGAAGGAGAAGTTCCGGCGGTGCCACTTATCTTCGCCTTCCTCACGGCCAAGAAGGAGGAGCACTACGGGCAGGTGCTGAAGGAGGTCATCTCCGCCGCGAGGGAGCAGCAAGTGCCCTTCACTGAGCCGGCGCGCGCGATGTCTGACTTCGAGCTGGCGATCCTGAACAGCATCCAGGAGGCTCTTCCCGTGACCGAGATGCAGTGCTGCTTCTTCCACCTCGGCCAGTCCATGTACCGGAAGATACGCCACATATGACAGTAATTATGACGGAAACTAAGGACCTGAAAATAACTTTAGTGTACTGCCAGGCGCAACAAGTGGGGCTGCAGGTCGCGTACAACAATCCAGATGACCGGGAGGTGAAGATCGGTGCCCACATGCTCCTCGCTTCATCCCCCCCGTCGAGGTCAAGGACGTCTTCAAGGACCTGGTGCGGAGCCTCCCCGATAATCGCAAGCCCGTGGTTAAGGAGGCATCCTAGAGTAGAGGGCTCAAAAAATGGAAAAGAATATCTTGGTCTCAAAAAATCCCTTATGGTCTCTAGATTACAGCCCACTTTGTCCGGTGCGTCACACGGTAAAAACGAGCCCTGGGATTCCCAGGAGTATTAGCCGTTTTCCAGGGTAAATGGAAGAGTCCCAGTAGATGCCCTGGAAGCGCGTTTTTCTTCCCAGGGGATGTCCTGGGTCAAACATCAAGTCCCAGGGGCTTCCCTGGGACCAGGGTGGCCGCGCCCAGCTCCCAGGTGCGCTCCTGGGATCAAATTGACGTTCCCAGGGCAACCCCTGGAAATCAATTCTTCCAGGGTGTTTGTTGTGTTTCTCCTTTTCGTGTCGTCCGCCAAACAAGCTCACATATTTGCGTTCATTTAAATTTTGTATTGTAAGGTTTAATTACATTTAAGATGTCGTTGACGTAACGTATTTCAAAGGCTGTGGAAAGTGGAATGCCAAACTGACAAACACTCGGTCGGTTCGTCGCACGCACTTCGGCATCGGTCAAGTAACACGATTATATGTGCGCCAGTTTGGCGATATTTGTTGGTTTGTACTGTATCGCCGGGAATAAAGTAAATTTATTACTGTTCTGTTTTGTTTTCGACACGCACAAGTACTTTGATTTGCTTAACACTGGATTGGGTGTCGTTGTGCGACCTTTCTCAGTGTATCCATAACCTCGTCACAATCTCACTAAATATTTGATACTTTAATTTTGTTTTTCAACATTGTCCTTTTTTGCTTTTCAGACTTTCTAAAGATTTTAGTTATGGTTCTACCATCTGACACTGTCGAGCAGCTCGCTGCTTATCTGAGGACTTGTGACAAAATTAAGGAAGGAACAATTGCTTACTTGGAAGGTTAGTATCCTAACATCACTTTTATGTGTTAGATCAGCCAATAGGCCTAGGCTTCGTGTTGAGGCAAAGTGAATCTTATTTTCCACATCACTGTTAAAAAAGTTGTGAAATTTCACATCAAAATCAGTTGTAAAATTGCAAAAGTGGTTGGGAAATTTCATAACATTGTCAATTTTGCAATTACTTGTTAAAATTCATAACGGTTTTCTGAAAATTCAAATCTGTCTTCTGAAAATTGGGAAACATTTGTAATCTTACAATTTGCGATTGTAAAATTGTGATCACTCTTTCGGAAATGTGCGATTGGATTGTAATTTTCCGATTGCAGTTTGTAATTTTGCGAAGTAGAACCAAATGAAACAGGACCTGCACAAGTCCTCCATCAGGTTTACTACAGTACAACGAACCTCCTCTCCTATAAGCCTGTTGTGACTTTGGACTTTCATACGACGAAACAGCAACTGTACTTTAAAGAACTGCCGCCAGATGGCGTTGTAGTCAGCGCGTCTCTTCCAAGAGCAATTATTAGTATTTAACTAAAATTTGCACAAGAAACTGACATGTATTTTTGCGAGGTATGATCTGTAACACAATGCTGTAGCTGGCTACGCTTTTGTTTTTTAGGAAAAAGTCACGCAAGTGCCCCAAATAATTGGTCTAATTCCAGCGCGCGCCGGTCCCCGCTACCTCTCCTTAGTTAGGTACGGCGCCGTTCGCAACCGGTCAGTAGGGGGCGCCTGTGACGCGCTCCCGTATTTAACCTGTGACTTTACCCTCAGGGGTACCTGGCACTCCTCCAGCCCAACAAGTTGATCCCTAGAGCGTTGGAGGTTCACCTACCTCATGTTCATGGCAAATTAATATAATGTTAAAAACCTTGATGTTTTGAAAATTCGCATTAACGTTTTTAATTTTTAGATCGCAGATAATGAAATTTCAAAACACATTTGCAATTTTTTTTACAACTGTTTTAGTTTGTAATTTTACAAACATTGAATTGCGTAAAAAGTTGCCAACAAAATTTGTAAAATTACAATCGATTTTTTTAACAGTGATCATTATCAGAACCTTTGTCATTTTATTCACTTTCGCTGTCATTTTCTGTCTGGTTGTAGACTGGAGTTTGTACAAGTTCTATGCCCTGTGTGTGGTGAGCGACAAGTAGGGTTTGCTGGAGTACGTAACCATATTCAGATAGTGCATGGGTAAGGATGTGCACTTTATGCGTTTTCAAACCGTAAATTATGCCCTAAAAAACGTCCCTATTATGCTCTGATTATGCTGTAAAATTTTCCAATTATGCCCTCTTTATGCCGAGTTTTCTTCTGAATTATGCTATTTTAATGCTTTTTTTGGCGCTGTTTTTCAAAATATACTTTTTTCAATGATTTTTGGCGTTTTCTTCTTAATTATGCGTTTTTATGCTTTTTTGCATGTACTTGAATGTATTCTAAACATTAGCAGTGATAAAGGTATGGGGTATGAAAAGAAAAGATCAAAATTATTCAGACTAGTCACATTTTATGTGTAGAATTTTAGACTTAATATATATACTGTAGCTTGATTAGGGTCCCTTCCCCCCTCCCCGCAGCCGCGGGTCGCGGAACCGCGAAAATTCAAACTTTGCATCCAAATTTGGCGGTAAAATGCGTGAAATATCATAAACATTGCAAAATGCAGCCGTTTTCACGCCTTTTCCTTGCAATTATGCTCAAATTATGCGAAAATGGCTCTATGCTGCGATTTTTGGAAATTATGCGTTTTCTATGCTCTTCGGATTCGCGTCCGGGGGTCACAGCAAAGCTAACCAGTCGATCCCCGGTCCATTTCCGTGAAGTTTAGAAAATTATGCGATTATGCGAAAGCATAAAGTGCACATCCTTATGCATGGGTTTAACGTAACGGATGCTGGGCCTGGTGGCTTTACTTGTGGAGCTTGTAATAATGTGCCACCTTACCACACTTATCGAGGTTGGAAAGATCATACTTGTAGATTTCGTGGTCCACAGCCAGTAAATGCTGAAGTGGATGAAAATAATGCACAAATAGACGGCAATGCTAGCAGTTCAGACGAGTCTGCTGCTTCTATTGATGTTAATGATGACCTAAATGAATTGTTTTTATTACCCAATGGGCGTAGAGATGCACGTCATGCAGCTGTCAACATGATTGTTGAAATGCGCAGTGTTGCTGCCATGACCAGAGTAGGAGTCAGCAGAGCGATGTGTGGGGCTGATAAGATTCTCAGAGTCATTAGTTCATCACTAAAAGCAGATGTCACAAATTATTTAGAAAGAAATGGTCAAATTCATGACCTAAGAGCTCAAGACCTTCTTAATAAATTCAATGTGGAAAGTCCATTTAAGAAAATCAAGTCAAACAAAGGACAGATATCTGGCATCAAAGAGTACTACAGCTACATTGATCCCGTTACATGTTATATAGATAATAGGCTAGATCAACGGCTTGGTGAGGATGGAGCGTATGGCATGGTCCCTGTGCCTAACACCTATGAGTACGTCTCAATAGTTGAAATCCTCAAATTAGTTGTTAGGAAACAAAGTGTAATGAATTATGTGAGAAATCTACGCCGCTCTGCTGATGGCATGTT